TGGCGGTAAGAGATTTGCGGACAATGAAGAAGTAATCGAAGCTGTAAATGGTTATTTTGAGGAGCTTGACGAATCAGTCTATAGAGATGGCATTAATAGACTGGAACACCGCTATGAGAAATGTATCAGCCTTGGAGGAGATTATGTTGAGAAATAAAAAAAAAAAATTTTTAAAAACCTTGTTTTTCTTGGTCAGGCCGGAAACTTATCAATCCACCCTCGTATATCTATTTTACTTTGCGTTTTATAAAGATGAAACAATGTAAAGCTTTTTTATATTAAGGGAAGGCCCCAACCAATGAATTTGCTACGAGCCTCAGATGGTACAGTTACGCCACTGCAAATAATAACAATTGTAGACCTACATTTTTTTTTCAAATAGTTAGAGAGATTAAGTTGCTCTAGTTTTCTCAAGATGGGAAAAAGTGGAGGTACGTGTACAACCAGCTTCTTTACAAATTACTTGATGGATGCAGATAACGAATACATTTTTCTCAAACGATTCCGACAATTTGGATACTGAAATAGTAACTGAATAGATTATCTGGAGAACAAAATATGTATCCGAATATTACCCACATCTGATATATTCTTAATCACGTTATATTTCACAGAAATTACACATAAGTTCTTCATTTTTTAAAAAAAAAGATAATAATCTCGATAAAAGTAGATTAATACAAACGCTCTGTATAACATATTGAGCCTGAATCTGTTTATGTATTCTAAAAGATCTACCCATTACTTCACTAAAAAAATTTATGAAAGTGTTTTAAAACATCGAATTACAATAACCCCTACAGTAACAAATAAAAAACGGCATACACGTATCGAACGTATGGTGGTTTTTGTGTAATCGACAAATGATTGATGATAGACGATAAATTCTTATCTAAAACAGCTCACGTAGTACATTATTGTTGCATACCTAATTTTGAGTTTATCGGTAACAATGCGTGAACTTAATTTATAATCGGAATATAAATATCTGATTCTCGAGATATCAAACAGACTGGTATTTTACTAGTGATGAGCAAAATTGGTCTTGGTGTTCGTCTTGCGAAAATGCAAGGCCAAGAAAAAGACCAAGACTATCTAGCATGATCAAGACCGAACAATACAATCAAATGTCAATGTCAAGCGGAATTTGATAGTATCTGACCAATTCGGGGTAATAATTCAATCATATACCATTCACACATATGATATACTATTCAAAATAAATAGACAATATATGTATCATCACCATAACGTTGTCAGTCCTAAGACTGGTTGGACACGTACCTCCACTCTTCCCTATCCTGAGCTAAACTTCGCATTTCCCTAAAACTAAAACAGCCCACATCCTCAACTATTTGCGAACAGTAATTTAATCTAGGCCTCCCTCTACCCCTCCTAACTCCTGTTTCTGCCTCTAATATGTCTCTGACTAGACCTTCATGCCTGAGAAGGTGTCCTACCAACCTATCTCGCCTATTTTTTATTGACTTCCATAGAGTCCTCTGTT